GAGAACTTTCATTCGCGCTATTTTCTATTGACAATACATATTATTACATTCTTGTGACAGGTAACTAAAGGAGGGTTCACACCTATTATACATATAATGCTACGTTTACAACTATAAGAATTGTATACATCAACACACCCCCTCAATTCTTACAATACTAAAAGAATATTTATTCTAATACATATAAAAAAATATTAAAAATAAACTTAAAAGTTATACTGAATTTTTATCACAAACATTTAACATTTCTCTAAAATATTTAAATTTTGGTGCACTTAGAGATTTTGTGAAAATATCTGCAACTTGTTCGGCTGTGTTTACATAGAATAATTTTATTTTATTTTCACTAACACACTCTCTTACAAAATGGTGTTTAACGTCTATGTGTTTTGTACGTTTAGTTTCTAACGTATTTGACATTTTTATACAAGACTGATTGTCTTCAAAAACATTTACAGGAAAAGCATTAAGGTTTAACAATTCAGACAAAAGTTGTCCAACGAAAATACATTCAGAAGTACAATCTGATAAGGCGATGTATTCTGCTTCTGAACTGCTCAAAGAAACTGTTGCCTGTTTTTTAGATTTCCAAAATACAAAGTTATTAAAAATTTTAATTTGATTAGATTGTTCTGAATTTTTATATAAAATACCAAATGTTTCTGTTCCTTTTAGATATATTAAGACATTTCTCAAATATTTCCAATGTTCATTATCAAAACAATTTTGATATCGACTAAAAAAGTAAATACAATAGCTTAAATGAGGTCTTGTTCCTAACATTATATACATTAAGAATCCTATTAGCTCTCTATATGGAAGATTAATATTTTTATTTATGTTATTATTAAAACTTAAATTTAATTTTAATTGAATTGGAATATTCATTATTTTACAATTTTGCATGTTAAACTTTGATAAAAACTTTCTGAATTAAGGCTGTCTGACTTAAAAATAATATGTTATTTCGTTTTTCAATTTCTAAACCTAAAAATTTTAAGATAAAATTTTCTTGACATTTTGGTGAAAGATCATGCATTTCGAAAAGTAACATTAATTTCTTCTTAAATTCATCTAACTTCTTCTGACTTTTACCAAATAAAATTATGTCATCAACATGAATAATAAGATAGATATCAGAATCAAAATACAAACATGGGTCACATTTAGATCTTTTAAAGTTTAAATTGGTTAACATTGTATGAAATTTTTGATACCGACATTTAGGAGATTCTCTCAAGCCGAACAAAGACTTCTTAAGCTTACATACAAATTCACTAGCCATATATACTGGTTCAGATAGATCTCCGTTTAGAAACGCACACTTAAAGTCAAGTTGATTGATATACAAATTTTTCTCTAAACTCAGTGATAGAAGTACACGTATGGACATCATTCTTGCTACAGGTGAGTATACATCTATGTGGTTATACTGTCCTTGCTGATAACCTCTTGCAACAAGACGAGCCCTCTTAACCACTGTACCATCACTTAAGTTTTTTTGTTTAAAAACCCATCTTGAGTCAATCTCTTTCACATTCTTAGGTCTTTTTGTCATTTCCCAAGTATAATTTTTGTTGATTGCACTTAGTTCATTTTGTATAGCTTCTTTCCAACCTTGTGACATGGCATCCTTGAAGTTTTGTGGAGAGTCAATACTTTCTATGAATAACGCTATCATTCCTTCATCATAGCTGTCACTAGAGTTTAGGTCGTCACGAGAATTTAAGTCATAGAATTTAAGTCATAATCGTCACGAGAATTTAAGTCATAATCTTCAAAATGTTTAGGTACTTGCATTGTTCTTCTTGGTCTTTCACTTTTGTTCATTATGTCTTCATAGTTTTCTACAGGGTCTTCTTGATTAGAATTGATACTTTCTGAGTCATTATCTTCAGCATCTGTCACATCATCATCATGAATTGTAACTTTTTCTTGTTGCTTACGAGTTCCAAACATTTTTGTTTCGTCAAATATTACATTCCTAGCAACTAAGATTCTTTCTTCTTGTGGATTCCAAAGACGATAGCCATTATTTGTATATCCTATTAGATTCATTTTCTGACTTCTCTTGTCAAATTTATTGTGTCTGTTTTCAGCTGGAATATGTACGTAGCATAAACATCCAAATATTTTTATTTTCGACAGTCCAGGCTTTTGTCTAAACCAAATTTGTGCTGGTACAACGTCGTCTGGTAATGTTGAAGTAGGTGTTCGATTAATAAGATAAGCTGCTGTTGCCACAACTTCTCGCCAAAATATTTTGTCCATATTTGCTTGAAAAATTAAACATCTGGCCTTATCTAACACAGTTCGATTAAATCGTTCTGCTACTCCATTTTGTTCAGGTGTTCTAAGTATGGTATATTCAAGTTTTATTCCTTTTTGTTTACAATAGTTTTTCATCTCATAGGATATGTATTCCCCACCATTGTCACATCTCAGTCTGTTAGGTAATTTCTGGAATTGATTTTCCACCATGGCAATATATTCCCTAAATTTCTGGAATGTTTCACTCTTATTTTGCATGAAATACCATAGAAAAATGAGAGTAATGATCAATGAAAGAAATGAAATACTTCTTACCATCATGTGACCTTGGGTTTAATGGACCACAAACATCACTGGATATACATTCCAAAATATTTTTCGCTTTCCTCTCATCTGATAATTTCTTAAAAGGCTTTCTTGTTTGTTTCGCTTCTAGACAAACATCGCAAATACTGGTTGACGGATATTTTGAAGAGTATCCCATTCTCTTGTGCCATAAATCTTTTTCATTTATCGACTTTACCAAATTTGCTTCACAACAAAATTCTGTTTGATTTAAATTTAAATTTAGTATGTACAAATCCCCTTCCAGCTTCCCTCTTAGAATAATATTATCGTTTTTGCTTATAATAACTTGTTTGTTTTGAAATATTATTTTTAAATCTTTGGATTCCATCTTTTTAACAGACAATAAATTATGAGTTAAATTTTTACAAAGAAAAACATTTTCTAATTTTATTTTCTGACCATTCTGTGAAATTAAGTGAAGAGTACCTTCATAGTTGGCTATAACAGATTCTCCAGCCTTGGCGACGTTTATTGAGTGGTTAACTTTCTTTTTATTCATTAGAAATTGCCCTAACTGTTCTGTTATTAAATGGTTCGTGCAACCTGAGTCTACTACAAATTTTAAAGGATTATGGCTATTCAATTTAGTTCCACTTTCATCAGAAAAACAGCTAATAAAGCTTACCTCATTTTTACATTGATTTTCTTCTTCAGCTAAAGTCGCTTTTTGACTTTCCTTTTTATTCTTGAAACAGTCCACCTTTTTGTGACCAACTTTCCCATATAGATAGCATTTAAAAGGAAATTTCTTCTTCACTGTTTTCTTCTTATTCTTGTTCTCGTTATTACCATAAAAAGCAGCAGAACTTCCTACTTCTGGAGTTAAATTACATTTTTGTCTTTGTTCTTCTGCCAGTAATTTACTTTTCATAAAATCAAGTGTCACATTTGCATCTAGCTGTGAAAACAGAATATCTATAGCTGTTACAACACTTTGATATTGGGGTTCTGATATAGAAGCTAAAAGCTGACTAACCGTTTCTATATCGTCAATTTTGCCACCTGCATTCTTGAAGTCTGTAACATTTTTTTCAAATTCTAGTATATAGGCATTCAGAGAGTCACCTGCTTGATACTTCATGTTCCTCAGTGTTCTCTGAAGCTGTACCTGTGATGCTACGCCACTCTTCGTGTATGTACTGCTTAAGGTATCCATAATTTCTTTTTCAGTTCCTTTAGTACGCACCATTTCGATAATGTTGTCACTTATACATTGCACAAGGATATTTCTGGCTTTTAGATCCCTCTTCTTCCATGCTGCTAACATATTAACCTCTGTTGGGGGTACCTCTGTTAGAACTTCCAGAACTTCGTTCTGCTCAAGGAGAAGCTTCACTCTAAACTCCCAGCTTGCAAATCCACTGCCATCGAAAAGTTTTATCACATTTCCTGCGCTTCCCGACATTATTCTTTTTCCACGCGTTACTGTTTAACCTCTAAATCTTGCCTATGTTTCCTGAATACCCGATCTGCACTATACTGGGCCCATAACCTGAAGAACTGCGGGCGTGGATCTTCAGATTCAGGATATCAAACACGATTCAATTTAGATAAAGTTTATTATTGAAATGTAGAAAAATAAAATGTGAACATGAGAACTTTCATTCGCGCTATTTTCTATTGACAATACATATTATGATATTCTTGTGACAGGTAACTAAAGGAGGGTTCACACCTATTATACATATAATGCTACGTTTACAACTATAATAATTGTATACATCAACAAAATCTTCATCTGAGGTACCTTATCTAACATAACCTTTCCGCAACGGTGAAGTAAAATTTAAAAAATAGGACGTCAAAATGTTCAGAATAAAAAGCGCTTTAAAATGATTTATCACACGACCCCTCATGCCATTTAAAAAAATTGGGTTGGTAGCCCTGGGGTTAGGGGGTTGAAGCAGGGCCATCCGATTTTTCATAAAACATCTTCCCCATCGATAAATTTGTTGACGTGTTTCCGCGAATATCACAAAACTGTCTATTTTTGCAGATAACGTAAGTTTTAAAATGTAAACCTAACCTAACCTAACCTAACACCCTGGATATATAAATTATGTTTGGTTAAAAAAAATTGCTAAAAATTATAACATTAAAAAGATTTAACTTGAAGGTGCCATGTTTATCCTAATTAGGACTAGATTATTTTTTCAATTAATTTAGTATTAATTTTATCATTTATAACTTCTCAAAAGGAATTCGTAGAAACTTTTGAAAATAAACGATTTGCTTCATTTTAAGAAGTTCTTTAAACAGTTTGAAATAATTTTTTTCAGTAAAATAAAATGGGGAAAACTTATATCTATAATTTTTAAAATTGACATGATTTTTTTCTATGTTCAGAGCGGCGATGTATCAGACTGCATACTCCAAATTACCTGAACAAAATTGTCAGCTGGTTTTACGCCATAACTGGCACCATAAACCGGCTCATCTGGATAGATCGTCGTAGGAACAATGTCTGAGTGGTTTTTTTTTATAAGAACTTGTCCTATGTACAAAGGGTTTCCATTTACATCATTGCCAGGTGAGAAGGCGTCGCTTGGTATAGTACCTCCTGGGTAGTAGTCTCTCCAAGTGTAGTCTTAAATTGGGAGGAAAAACCGAGATCAATTAACTAGTATACAAAAAACTAAATATTATTTAATACTGAAGAAACAAATACTTATTTAAATACATGATGGTTTTAAAAATGTATTCGTATCTTTCCTGAGTATTAATTTTGTATACCGGGTACGTAAATTTTAACCAAATTTATTATACATTTGATTAAACCAGAAAGTTAAGAAAATGAACAAAAATTTGATAAGTAAGCGTCAAATTATATATAACGTTACGCCTTACACAAAAACTTTGTTCTACTTTTATAATACAAAGACTATAATACATAAAAAGAGTATAATACAAAGAGTATATATACTCCTTGTTATATTTACCCTTGTATTTACCGTACTAAACCGTAAATAATATTTTATATAAAAAATTATAACAAAGAAAGCAAACTATGAACTTACCATTGTAAGCTAAGTTAAATTCAAGTATAAAGCTGACCAAAAAAGACAAAATTAAAATTTTAAATTGCATGTTGTCTTTTTAAAATAAACTGATTGACTGGTATAGGTCATCAGCTATGCAAAATCTCGATTGTAAATAACACGACGAAATTTATCTGGAATTTTGTGATATAAATAAAACATTTTGCTTCTTTAATATGCTTGGATAAGGATAATCAATTCTAACTAGAGAGGGCAAAATATAAAAATATATCGATATATTATACTATTTAATATACAGAGTTAATATGCGTGTAAATGCTAACAACTACGTACGCATTAGACCAGTGAATGTCGATTTTAAAGAAGTTTGTCGAACTTTACTAGTAATTGTTAGATGTCACTAGTGTGGACAACATTTACTCAAAGTTGTCAGTGAAAGCCATTCTATTGTACCGGGTGGCTTATTACATAATATACCATGTAGAGAGCATAAGGTCTTAAGTCCCTCCCCCAAGCTTAGTTCAGCAGTAATATTAATTCACGTACAACTTAACAAGTCTAGCTAGAGACGTGAGAAATATAAAATAACATGCGACCGGTGCTATCCCCAAGTCTCTTCCTATATTTGTACAACTGTAAAATAGTGCAGTATACGTATTCTTTATCATTACATTAAAAACATGACTACAAATATAGAACAAATGAAATATCAACAAAAATATAATTTATTTATTAAATAATGTGTATTCTATTAATTTATTTAAAATATAAGTTAGACACTTAAAGAAAAATAATAATAAACAATAAACATTGCTATTTCCTGGTAAACAGCAATGTTTAAAATACTAATGTCCTTTGGCAATTGGGGTATTTTCGGTAATATTTTTGTTCAAGCACATTTATTCTTTTTTATCTGCTCTCTAGTAATGATCTTGCTGATTTACTTCTTTTTTGTGATTGCGAACCATAAGTTTTTCTGGATAAAGTTACTGGTTCTATAATAATATTTTCAGCCAATATTTTTCCAATAGCAACATCGCCTTGATAATTCCTGCCTATAGAGCCATTTACCGTCCTCGACCCCTCCAATATATAATATATAATAAAATAATATAATATTGCTTATATTAAAATATTTCACCCAAGATATATGTATAGTTAATTGACTGAAATAATAAATTTGGGAAATTTTTATTTTTTAAATTAACCATAATTTTTTCTGCGAAAAAATGGTGACAAAACAGTTTCGGTTGAACTTTTCGCACAAAAACATTTCAAATTTATGATTTCAGTCTAATAACTATTTAGTCAACATGTTTAATTTATGTTAATGATGACAGGTATTGATAATTTCGATTTCAAATATCTTAAGGATCGTTACTCGTGGCGATTTTTAGCAAGAAATCTTTTTTACGTAGAAAATGTCGTAAATGTATATTTTTTACTCGGTAGTTATTACTCTTCAAATCAGTTAAAAAGTATGTAGGTGGCGCCCCCTACAAGTAGGAATCATATTGACATCAAAATCAAATTTCTCATGTCAAAAAACTCCTAGATTTTCATCCAAATACTGACGTTATATCATAAATCATTGGGAAAAAATCGAAATAAAAATAAAACTTCTGCACCCTGTATCTCCGAATCTAAGCATTTTCGGACATACATTTATACGAAATTTTTTACTTATTTTTATCTGTAGAATATGCTGCCGAAGTTTCCGGAATACATTTCGGACCACCCTATATATCAGTATCATATAAATCAGTCAAAACGAATTGAAATCATTTTGATAAATTTTGTTTAAACAAAGAAAATTTATATAAACTTAGCAGTATATTCCTTAGATATAAGTTTGAATGTAATGTATGCTATGCACCTTGGTATTCATAAAGAAACAAGTTGTAAAACCACTTAAAATTACATTTTTATGACGCTATGTATGACAACAATATGGATAAAAACAAAGATTTTAAGACAAAAAAAATATGGCGGAGGTCGACATTGTTGATTGTTGTTTTCATTTTGAAATCCACACACAGACATAGGTACTTAGTTTGACATTTTATTTAGAAACAGTGGCTACTGAAAACGGGAACATCTTGTACACAAATTGCAGAAAATGTTTCGAAACAGTTCCTCTAAAAGTTTCGATTCCGCATCGAAACATTTCAAGAAACGGCTAGTGTCATCAGATTGGAAACACACGTAATAAATTCATATAAAATATATTTTATTATATTTTTCGAAAATGTTTCCTATTTGTGGCATGAAGCATGGGGCAAACAAAGATTTTAAGGCAAAAAAATTATGGCGGAGGTCGACATTGTTGATGGTTGTTTTCATTTTGAAATCCACACACAGATATAGACACTTAGTTTGATATTTTATTTAGAAACAGTGGCTACTGAAAACGGGAACATATTGCACACAAATTGCAGAAAATGTTTCGAAACATTTCCTCTAAAAGTTTCGATTCCGCATCGAAACATTTCAAGAAACGGCTAGTGTCATCAGATTGGAAACACACGTAATAAATTCATATAAAATATATTTTATTATAGGTTTCGAAAATGTTTCCTATTTGTGGCATGAAGTATGTGGCAAACAAAGATTTTAAGGCAAAAAAATTATGGCGGAGGTCGACATTGTTGATGGTTGTTTTCATTTTGAAATCCACACACAGACATAGACACTTAGTTTGGCATTTTATTTAGAAACAGTGGCTATTAAAAACTGAAACATCTTGCACACAAATTGCAGAAAATTTTTCGAAACATTTCCTCTAAAAGTTTCGATTCCGCATCGAAACATTTCAAGAAACGGCTAGTGTCACCACATTGGAAACACACGTAATAAATTCATATAAAATATATTTTATTATAGGTTTCGAAAATGTTTCCTTTCTTTCCATTTTGTGTCAAAAAACAGACACAATTATTAGAAACATTACCTAAAATATGTCTAAAAATGCTACTTGGGTACAGTCAAGTACCCAAGTACTGGCTTTGAGAAAAGCCAGTATCTGGGACGGTTTTATAGAGGGTACCTAGGTTTATGGCATGAATGGTTGTCGTCTCAGCGCACTCAGTATTCTGGTGTTACCCCATTTTCCACACAAAATCTGCATTCGCCGTTTTTCCTTAGCTTCAATCTACTGAGGTGTTCATTGAGAAGACAGTGTCCTGTTAAAAACCCCGTGACAATCGAAAGACTGTTTTTACTTAGATCAAGGTGTCTCATTTTTCTTGGTCGTAAGTCTTTAGAAACTTATTCGAATGTCTTAGACCGTTGAAGAAATCCCATTCCAGATTAGGGTTGGAGTCTTCCAAGTTTTGGAGTTCCGCTTTTAGTTGGTTTCCGCTTGGAGCGCAGAGCGGTTCTGATCCAGTTAGTGGAGTGTTAGCTCCTTTTCTAGTTATTGCATTTGCTTTTTCATTACCTTCTATCCCTGGGTGAGCTGGCACCCAGGGTAGGAGGACTTGGTTTTCTTTGTCTAATTTATTCAGCTTTTCTATGCATTGTTTGGCCAACTTCGAGTTGATTGATACTGAGTTGATCGTTTTTAACGCTGCTTGCCTATCAGATAAGATGGCTATTTCTTGTTTCCCATAGTTCCTATCTAAGATAAGTTGTACGTATCTTTCGGTAGCGTACTTATTCATCGGAGTAATTCTCGTCCCAAATACTCCGATCTCTGTCCCTGCATTGGTTTTGGAAGCATCAGTATACCAAGTTATGGTACGGTCTTTTAACTGCTTAGTAAGACTGCGTGTTAGTCTTACTTGCTTCAAACTTTAAAATTTGAACTGGTTGAATAATTAATTAATAAATATTTTTCTTTTTGTCATCTTAGCCATAAATATTCTACTATAATATTTACTTAAATTGAAAGTTTATATATCTTATTTAGACTAAAATATTATTAAGATTATGAATTTATATAGGTATTTATATAATAAATAAATTAATATATTTTAAAGAATAGTTAGGTATAGTGAAGTTATTTAATTGGAATGTATTTTTGGTTTTAGGTCAGCAATTTAAACACATAAACTATAAGTCGCCTTTATTTACGTTTCGACAATTGTTAGGTCTTCTTCAGAATACATTATTGTTTTCTAAAAACACAATTCAATTTCAATGTTACACTAATTAATATATAAAAAAATAGAACTTACCAATATAAACATATAACAGATGAAAAACATTTTAAAATTTACCATAAAGAATAAAAATAAAAAAACTTTTAAAAAATATTTCCAGATGGAGCGGAATGTACGCGCGGAGCGTCCTCGCTGATGTTTTTTCAATATAGCTCATCCGGACGCGTATTTACGTTTCCGTGTTCATTTCAACACCGCGCAGTCATGGAATGAGCACGGAATTGTTATTCAATATTGCTTTACAAACCCGTGTTGATTTCAACTTCGCGCCCGTTAGTGAAATCGGCACGGAAATGTATCCCAGTGTTGGTTGACAAACCCGTGTTGATTTCAAGAGCCTCAATCTCTAAATTAAATTTTCTAACATACAAATTAGGTTACTACAAATCTATGTTAAAAAAAATATTATTTACATCAGCGTACGTAGTGTTGACATTTCAAACTTTTTAGGCGCACCTCTGTAAATCATAGTTTTTTCTCAAAATGGAATATACAAAGCAATAATCTGCTGTTAGGAAAAATTATTTCCCTAATGCATTTCTCTCGGCACTACTGTCATCGGTCGTAATAATTCTTGGTTGAAATAACTTTCCGCTAAGTTTTTCCCAGAAAATGTTTTGCTGTTTGCGTCCCCAGAGCAACGGGAAGGTCCTAAAGAGTGAGCTACATTGACTCTGTGTGAATGAATAAAATTAATGTGTAGAACGACATTCAAACCTCTCTTCAATAAAGATGATGTTTTTAAAGTATGTTACGTCAATTTTAAAACAAGTATGCTTATATTTGCTTCGTAATTGAAGTTTCTCATTGCTCCTTTAGTTTTGTTTTTCGATTTATTTCTTTCTGTTAAGTTAGGTAAACTATTCGAAAATCGTAACGTAGGGGTTTAGAAAAACGTCTTTTCATTATCCAATTTGTCTTTATCTCTGCCGTTTATAATGTAACTACATTTCTCATTGTAACTGGTGGAATCAGGCAACGCATTGAACAACGAATACTGAACATCACAAGTATTAATAACTAACTGAAGAAATTTCTTCAAAGTTCAAAACCTCAAAATCATTGGTAATTTTTGTAAAACAAATTTAATAATTTCATGCTTAATTAGAAGATCGCATGTTGAAATCAACACGGGTTTGTCACCCAACATTGTAATACGTTTCCGTGCTGATTTCACTACCGGCGCGATGTTTACACGCGATGTTCACAATCAACACGGGTTTGTAAAGCAATATTCAGCAACAATTCCGTGCTGATTTCAAGACCACGCGGTGTTGAAATGAAAACGGAAACGTAAATACGCCATCCGGACGGAGCATACGCGACCCATGTGAAATCGTTCATATAAACTCATGGTACTTGCTCGATGTCGCGGACGCTCCGCTCCATCTGAAAACGCTGATATACTAAATAACCCATAATATGTCGGCGGTGTAAAGGTTTTTGACATTTTCTAAAAATAAACTACAATTTTTAAATTAGACTTAAGCTACCTAAATTGGAATTTATCCGGTATAGCCTAATATGTAAAGTACGTCTACTGTATGAAAAGAATGCGGACAAAAACATTTAAAAAACAGCAATATATTTGTTGAATCGCTAAGAGAAGACTGAGAGGACGTGGACTTGATGAGTATGTCACCGCAAAATACTCTTTTAGTTAAAATAACTATTGTACTTTAAATCAAGTTAAAACTTATACAGGGTGAATCAAAATTAATTTTGAACATTGGTACCATTTAAAAGCATTTAAAATTTTATTAAAATATTTTTAATTGGAACTATTTTAAATGGAACACCTGCAATGAATTTATGTCTCTTCAAAATACTATTAAGGTTGCCTAAAACTTTATCGTTTTTCAAATATGTCCAAAATAACCCATATTTTACATTGAAAATTAAAAAAATATATATATTTTTGCTCACATTTTGAGCACCACTGTTTTTTTCTGGGTTTCTTTTTTTTGTAAATTTAATCTTTTCTAAATTTAATCTACTTATGTTGCCATAATATCAAGTTATTATGCTTTTTACCAAAAATTAAAGAAGAAATTAAAGAAAATTACGAAAAATATCAAATTATTGAAAAATATTTTTTGCGTAAGAAACCTCATGGAGTCGAAATTTTTCCCTAAAAATATTTGCACTTATTGAAGACTCACCCTGTATACACATTTCTCCCTAGATAGGGTGACCAGATTTATTTGCAGAAAAGTAGGACAACCAGGACAAAAAAGCCTGATTTTTAATAAAAAAACCTGACATTTAACAAATATATTTATATAAAAAAATGTAACAATTTCTACTTAGGTAAAAACTACTTATACTTTTCAGAAGAACCAATTTCTTTTAAAATATTGGGATTGTCCATCAAATAATTATAATATTCCTCACAAGACATTTTTAAATTAAATTTTAACACTATGAGGCTTTTTATTGATTCGATAGATAAACGGTTTCTTTCTTTGGTCCACTGCGCTGCGATTAAAGAAAAAATTCGCTCGACGGCAGCATTATGTGCCGGAATAGCAAAGTAAAATTCACAAATTTTAAGCAATTCTGATGATAAATCAATGTGTTTTAATTGCTTAAAATAGTAAGACCACTTTTTATCTAAAGATAATGATAAAAATTCCTCATTTTGAATCTTTGTTGTCAAACTGTCTTTTAATAAAATGATTTCATCAATTAGTTTTGTGTCATTAATTTCTACCCCTTTTTTGGATAAAAATTCAATACAGGGCAAAATATCATTAAATTTAAAGTTTGTATCATTTAAAAGCATCCATTGAAATGAATTAAATTCTGCCAATGGAGCGGCCCATTTTTCTAAATAGTCTATACATTTAGTATAGAATTGCCATACTTGCTCCTTAAAATCATTAACTTCTTTTTGTAATCCCTTTTCCCTTAACACATTTAACTGACTTCTTACTTTTAATGGTATAAATTGCTCGGAGAGCCTTCCTTGTAGTGCTGTGAGGACTGATGCAAGAATGTCCTGCACTTCCAAAATGGAAATATTTTCTTTTTCAATTAACGCAACGTTTACATGGAAAATGTGCATAGTTGAATCTAACAACCACAAATACATTTCTGAAAATTCACTCTCAAAAAATTTTCTTAGCATAGCTGGACAGTCTTGCTGAGATTCAAAGTAGGATTTAAGTGCCGGATAGAGTTTAAGAATCCGTTCAATGGCTGGGAACATGGATAGCCATCTTGTTTTGCTATGATATAAAAGTGGTTGATAGGATATTTCAACAAAGTTGCAAAATTCTTTTAATGCTTCCGTTCTTACCGTGTAGATTGAAAAGTAGTTAAATATTTTGAAGATGATGTAGTCCACATCACACTGCAGTGAATCAGCTCCATGCTGTATACAATTATGAAGAATATGGGCTGGACAACCTATACCAACTATATCTGAATTTAAGTCTTGCTTCATGTTGCTTAAAACATTTTTCTGTCCTCGTCTTGCGAGACCTCCAAAGTTTACATTAGCATTGTCACCGGAAAAAGCAATACACTTGGAAGTAATGTTAAATTTTTTTATGGTTGTTATCAGATATTTTGATATGGCTTCAGCCGTTTCACTTGAAAGGGCAGATAATTCCAATACCTGTGTCTGAATTCCGTTGAACCATTGAAAGTACTGGACAACAACAGGAAACATTTTAGTAGCTCCATGATTACTTGCATCTGTACCGATACCATAGAAATTTACAGAATTTAGACTTGATATTAATGTTTCTTGTGCGTGAGGTGAGAGTACATGATTAACAATTGCTTCGGTTTTTGTTCTTCCGCATCCAAATTTAGCAGTTATTTCTGAATCCGGAATTATCTAAAAAAACACAAAGAATATGTTAAAACTTAAAATTTGCTATTAATAACTGCATAGGTACCTTTTTTAATAACGGTATTTTTTTTCCTAGTAACTTTTGGCTGAGCTGTTTTTACTAAATTGAATAAATAAATATTTAAATACATTTTAGTACAGCCAAGTACATAATATTTTTATTATCAGATCACAAAAATGTCTAAGCTTATTTTTTTTTATTTATTTCTGACTTTTAACTCGAAGGTGAAGAAGTGTTTTTAAAACACGCTGTATATATTTTTTACTGCAAAATTGGGTACCTACCTTTTTAAGAAGAGATGAAGTGCAGTCCAACGATCTATAAGACTGATGGTGCGAAACGGTGTGATATGCTAATGTACCTTCTGCAGCTTTAAGTTTAAAATCAACTGAACTATTCTTTTGGACGAAAAAGTTATCCAGTTTCATGCAAGAGGAAGAGGCTTGAAGACTTTTCTTGTGTTTTTCCGTAGAAATATGTTTTTCCAAATCTGCTGCTCCTTTGCTGCCAACAGAAACAAACGAATCACAAGGCACACATTTGGCTTCTTCTTCGTTTCGGCCTTTTACAAAAAGTTTGTATTTTGTCGCCAGTTTTTCGGTAAATTTACACTTTCTTTTAGACATGATGTTTACTTGCTGCTGCTGAACTTAAACTGAACTATGAATACTCAACTGTGAAACTGTGAAGTGAAACCAGGTGAAACGTCGGTTTTTATATACTCGGGGGAAACCCGCAGTCAAAAGTCAAAACAAAACAATTAAAAGCGATTTCGATTTTACGCACGCTCTCTGGTTGTGTCGATCGGTATGGGTTGGTTGTGTCGGGTCGGTATCGATATACGCGACGACCGACGCGGCGCGGCGTTGCCAGCTTGAGAAAGTCGGAACCAGGAATAATGATAATGTGCGTTTTTAGTTATTTAGAATTTTCGATTGATAAAAAGCCGGACACGACAAAAAGCCGGCCTGACGTTTTCATTTAAGCGAAAAAGCCGGACATGTCCGGCTTTATCCTGACGTCTGGTCACCCTACCCTAGATAACCTATGGAAACAACCAAAACGGTCCATCTTGTACATTCTTTCAACCATTATTCTCTAATTTATTTAAACATAAAACTACATTTACTGTTATCAATTAGTTTGTAGGCCTATAATGTACTATATGCTCGTGACCACGATACTCGTGATAATTATCCGTATAGACTAGTAACTGATACGAATTGATCATTCTTTCATGATTATCATGAACGAACCACATTGTAGCATTTCCAATATTTCCAGATAATATTTTTCCAATAATGGTATGTCCCTGATAATTAATTCCGCCGATATACAAAGCTTTGCCGTCTTCCATGCCTCCATTAACTGGATGTAAATGATTGGGAATGATATGGACGTTTGTGTTTTCTTTTGGAATCCAGATAAACCTTTGAGGAAATAAAGTGCAGAGGATCTAAAACTTCTATATAAAGAAAATTTGAATTAAGGTTTTAAACAAAGGCTAAAGAATACAAGAATGTGTAATGCGCATGTTAATACTTCTTGTTTATCATTTTTATACTTTTATGTATATTTTATACTTTTATGTATATACCGGGTGCGCCTCAAAAGTGGCTCACCCCTATAACTACGGAACTATAAACGAGATTTGATTAGTTAGTTAGTATATGACATAAATTAGGATTGATTGACGTATTCAATTGCTTTTGGTCCCTTCCTGTTTCGCCGGAAATGACTACAACTTTTAATTTTTAAACGGCACCCTCGGTATTTTTTTAGAAAATGACATTCTGAATAGAATGACATATTATATGTCAAATTTTGACATTTTCGCTTAAAACAAAATTAAATTTTAAAATCCAATCTAGAGTGCCATGGTTATGTTAAAAACACTAATTCTTAATCAAGGAGCCTTGGAAAAATAGATTTGATTCTCTAATGTTTTTAGTGTCTTATCCTGGCCTGTTAGAAAATGCTCAAATCGTATTTTTAATCATGCCTCAATTTTTTCAAATGGAACGAGGGTGTCTCATTAGCATATTTTGAAAAAGCATTTTTTTACGAATAATTTGGTACCACACACTTGGTATTTCGAGTCAAATTTTCGTTACGAACCGCAAGCTATAATTTCAAATAAACCATATGCGAAAATGTCAAAAGTTGACATATGATATGCCATTCTATTAGTTAGAGTGTTATTTTCTATCGAATAAAGTAAAAAAGTACCAAGGGTGCTATTTAAAAATCTAAAGTTGTAGTTATTTCCGGTGAAACAGGAAGTGTCCGAAAACAATTGAATACGTCAATCAATCCTAATTTATGTCATGTACTAGCATACCAAATCTCGTTTTTTTACTGTAGAAATAAAAAAGTTATAGGAGTGAGCCACTTTTGAGACGCACCCGGTATACTGAGTTTGGATACGAGTAAATAAGTAGTTCTTTGTATGTCGTGAACGTTGTATAAAGTTTATTACAATAGTGATTTGATTATATTTCAAGTTTAAAAGCCGCAGCGAGAAGAAATGGAAAAAATACGTTTCTAGGTAAATAAACAAACAATTAATATTCTGCACTCCACCTTTTTAGCTTTTTTATTGAATATGATCATTCTTTTTCTAATAGGTTCAACGTATTGGGCATAATATACATTATATACCTACTAGTTTTGTAACTTTTTCTAAAATTTTGATAATTTTTCCTTTCAATAATTGGCATAACACCAGAAAAAACCGTAGGCAAAACTTTTACCAAAAATATAAATAAATAAAGATTGTTCATAACTAAATACCTAAGTGTAATAATACGTAACAGAAACTTCAAAATTAAATTTGACAAACCCCCCACTTGAGTCAACACATGATTCCATTTACAAACTAATTTTATGAGCTAAAAATTGAAATTTACATTAACGTTAATATTAACTATTTTGCACGACACAGTCTGACAAATTGCAACAAATTGCTCTTATTGAGCCTTGTATTCCATAGTCATTGGTTTTAATGGTAAGGTATACCAACCTGGGCAAAGTTCCAAGCTTCTCTAGCTCCATCCTTGGCAGCCACAACTTTTTTTCCGGGACTTATGACAGCTGGATATATTCCGGTATGCTTTTGGACGGCTACTTGACCTATATAAATGTTTTGTCCATTTGTATCTTTACCAGCGATATAGGCGTCGTGTGGTACAGTTCCGGAATAGTCCCGCCAATAATATTCTACAAAAAAAATGGAATATTTTATATTATGTATGCCAAAACACCTGTTGTAACAACTGGAATAATAATCGCAAAATAAAATACTAGTTCACCGGAATACAGCAAAACATTTTACTTTTGCACTGGACTTGCGTTTCGCTAACCATGTCAGCATTATCAGCAGATTATAAAAAACAATTTTTGATTTTTTAATCTACTGCTGATGATACTAACATGGTGATGTGCACATGCAAGAGCAAGACCAAGACTCCCTTTATTCATGCAGTCCAATAAGTAATATTGCCTTAGTCTTCCAGTTCTGGCAGTCCACTCTTGCAGGGTCCAATATGCCTATATAATGGTCTTTGTGTTGCTGCAAGACATTTGCAAGTCCTGCAGATAGAAAATCTTTAACCTTTCAGAGGTTGCGCGCGGACTCACAGTCCGCAGGTACCTATTTTACCATAAATTTCAAATGTCTGGAAATATCAGATACTGCGCCGGCCGCCGCTTAGTATCTTCCTGTCAATTTTATACTGATATGCGGAGTGCCAGTCCACGCGCGACCGTTTGTGATACTTTTTTACAATAATTTTATAATATCGAACAAGGTAAGTTATTTTACTGATTTGTTTTAATTGAAAATAAGTATTAAATTGTGATAAAAACAGTGAATAATCGACATTTTTTATTAAGTACCTAAGTATTATTTTTTAGATGTAGGTACTCATATGACGCAGAGCATGAACGATTGCATCAGTTCAAGCAAGACTGTTAGCAAAAAAAATGACGAATTAACTACTGAATATGACGATGACCAGGAAAAAGTGGACATTATAGAAAGGTAAGAGCTCGAAATAAACTCTCATACAGAAAAAGAAATTTCAGATTCTAAAGCACTGATACAGTATTACGAGAGGATCGGCACTACAGAATTTTGATAGGCAGAAAAACAGACCAATTCGTTAAGGTACTTTCAGGCTGAGAGCGTCGAGCGTCGCGTCGCGTTTGCGTCGCGTCCGCGAGTCGAAATGGAATCAATTCACTTTACTTAAATTAGACCGTTCAGGCAGACAGCGTCGAGTTTGGCGTTGCGCTAGCGTCCGCTGAGTCGAGTTCCGTCGGGAGTCGAGTTCAATGGAGCGGACGCGATGCAAACGCGACGCGACGCTCGACGCTCTCAGCCTGAATGTGCCTTTTACTCTTGTGTACAGTGTCACAATTTCGTATATAAGAGCACACACAAATGTTCTGTAATCACTGTTTCACGGATTGAATTTTTCACTCGATTTTTCGTTATTACTGGTTATTTCTGTTTTTAAATAATATCTATTAGTTAATATTTTTGTGTGTTTTGTGTTGGTTAACATTTTATGTTTTTGTTTGATAGTCGTAATGAAGCAAGTCAATAAATCATTTGTATTTTGATTATCATATTATTTTGTGTCTTTACACAACTAACAACAACATAAGATCTCTTGATTTTACCTAACCATCTTTAGTTTAAATTATTCTCAGAATTATAGTGTTTCCGCTTCATATTAAAACCATATACTTTTTTAAACTTCATATACCAACTCGCTATTTTATTACATTTTTCGACAACTATTTTCATATCTCATAATTTTTCTATAATATTAACCTATACCTATCACTTATAGTTTTCGTGATAAAAAATAAAACAAGTGTAAAACTGACAAAAACATGATCTCGAATAAGCTTCGGTTAAATAAAAAAATTCGGCATATTGAAAGCTGAAATTTGGTTTATAGGTAAAGGAAAGTCGACATATTCGATCTGTCTAAATCAATCGACTAGAAAGCAAACAGGGATATCCAAAAAATATTTATTTACCTCTGTTACTCAATCGCTCAAATCATTGCTATTTTAAATTCAAATCTATATTATTAAAAAAAAATCGAAACTCAAATAAAATTTCTTTTCAACGATATATCATATTCGTGAAAAGTTATTTTTTGATATCCAAACGGTTAATTTGGACAGATCGAATACGTCGACTTCCGTTAGCTTATTATAACCCGGGGTCGTATTTTCGAAACCATGCGGAGCTAAAGTCGTGTACAAAATTTGGTAAACTTCGCATGAAAATAAGAAAACTGTATTTTCGAATAGTTTCGAGGGCTTCGTGCATGACTATTTTCGTATGCGGTGGTTCGAGTGGGTATACACCATTCGAATGTGAAACTTCGTATGCGATTATTGCGATTCCAACCTATTTTTCTGTTTTTGTTTATTGTTTATTGTGAATTGCGATTAATAAATTATTTATTTTCAACAATTCTGAAAAATGGCTGGACTAAATTTTCTTATTGAAAGAAATATTTTAAATGCTTTGGAAGAAGCTGAAATCTTGGCGGATAGAGGGGATACAATCTACCATCCGTTTTTGAACCCCTTTGAGTTGTCTGATAATCAATTTGTTAAATTATATAGATTAACAAAACCTATGGCCTATGAGTTATTAGGTCTGTTGGAATCTCACCTTACACATCCTTCTAGGATATCGGCATTAAGCATACCAAGAGAAGTAAGTACCTACAATAGGTAAATAATACACGCTATAAAGTGTTTAAGGCAATGCTCCTCGAATGTTTTTTTTTAGTTAAAATTTATTAATTACTTTATATTTAAGTATATTATTTGCAGCTTTTAACCACATTAACGATTTTTGCAAGTGGGAGTTATCAGTAGGATATAGCAAGAAATATGAATCATGCAATTTATTTCTGTTTTTTGTTCTGCAGAAACAAACCCTCCTTTCTTATAATTTTCTTGATCCATTACAACATTCAATTTTGCACAGTCTCTTTTTTAGCTGACCATACCTACAGGTATGGTAGGTTATTAAGATCGGGAAAAAAAGTTTTTTTAATTTCACTCAAAATGAGTTATTTGGGTCATAAATGACCTAAATACAAAATATTTTCATGGTGTCTGTCTGTCTGTCCGTCTGTAACATGATAACTCAAAAACCGCTAAACCGATTTTAACCAAATTTGGCACAAAAATACTGTGGCAACCGAGAATCTGGCCATTAGTTTTTGGTGGGGGTGCGGGGTTGGTAAGGGGATTAAAAATTTAAAAAAATCGTAACTACAAAATTACAGTAGCCAGCGAAACGCGGTTTTCAATTTAAGATTAGGAATAATATTTGCAACAAAATTTGTAATAACATCAAAATCAGTCAAAGTCGCAGTTTTTGAGATATTCCTTGTTTCCGTAGTCCGTTTTTGAGAAAATCCGTGTGGAGAACTCCAAACTTCCATCGGACGCGACCCCAGGTGGCGGATAGGGAAAATATCCGCGGACCAAAATTAGAAAAAATTCCTTTACTTTGAAACTAAAAGAACTGCCTACCAACTTTTTATTAACATATTTTAGTATGAGCGGCTATACGTGCCTCCTGGCGCCAATTTTTGTAAAATAATACTGAATGTATGGAATTATAGAAAAGATATTATTGAAAAATCCATAACATAAACAACAACAAAACTAAGCAAATAATTTAAGGTTAAATTATGTTATATGTCACAAACTGTCGCAAATACGGTCTCTTCTTTTTTGTCACTGATCATGTTCAAAATAGGTTTTTAAATTCGTGCACGAATTTTCTCGCACGAATTAGATCATATGGGAGAAAATTCGAGTACATATACATACGAAAATATGACCCCCGAATTTCAACTTTTAAACTGTTCAGTACATGATTTTACAAATGTTTATCCAAGATCATGTTTTTGTCAATTTTACACATGTTTTATTTATTATCTCAAAAAATGTTAGAGGTAGATATAGTTAGTATAATAGAAAAAATTATGAGATCTGAAAGTAGTTCCCAAATATGTAATAATATACCGGGTGTTCTTTTTAAATGATGCGACAACACTGTAACAGCAGGTTCTTATAATATGTAAAAATCCTATCACCGGTTCTCCCTAAACGTTTAATGTACCATCGCCGTCAATCACTCTACACATATTAACGAGTATATTTAGAAATACAACACTTACCATTTAGTGAAATAGTAAAACCAACCAAGAAGCACAAAACAAGTAAAATTAAGTTAACGTAACCAACACCCATCATTGTAGACCAGATAAAATATTAATAGTTCTATGTCTGACTAAAACGACAAAACTTTTGTATAGAAATACACATACATAAAACATATATTTTTTTAATTTAAATATCGCATATTGTTTTTATTATCACGGGGTCAAAATCATTGTACAGCTTGTCAACAAGTTAAATTAAAAACATTTTCGAACTTTTTTCGATTGGATAACGTTTGAACTGTATTTCATACAGGGTCGGCAATTTTTATATTTCATACAGGGCCGTGAATTTAGGTCCTATAAGAAATATGGAAAACTGTCATTTTTTAAATGTTCCATAAAATGACTAAAACCCATGTGATTTTATTTCCAAAAAAATCAGATACCCGTTGTACTTTTTGTTATATAAACCAACCAATATTTCTAGTATAATGATGATACTTTGAAAACTTTTGGCTTCATTGGGTAAGCAAAGAATATTATATGACTAATATTCTTTGCTCATCCCAAGTAGCATTTTCACGACTTGCGACCACATGTTTACTAAACACAACGTTGGATTAGTTACAAAAAATAGTTAGTTCCGTACCTTAGGTATTAAAATAAATGTAAACGTTGTTGTAACGTTGTGCCGACGTTGAACTAGTACTACAACAAAGTAAACTCTTCTGCGACGTCGAATAAACGTTGTCTTGTAACCTTTTTTGTTTAAGAGACCTTTAGGTGATTCGGACAACGTAGTTACAATGTTGGGCAATAAAGAGTTTTCCGACGTCACTTTCAGGACCTATTCCAACGTTATGCAAACGTCGTCTGTTTTATTAATTCCAACGTTGTTTAGATTTCCTTATTCTTACGTTGGTAGGACGTCGAGCCACTACCTTTTTGCAACTGTATTGAACCATAACCTTAAATCTTAAATTTTCAGTTCATTGTTCTGTTCAGTCAGACAGTTCAGTGCTGTTTATGTTTTTAGAAAAAAAAATTCATTAAAATGGGACGTAAGAAAGGCACATATAAAACTAAATTTAAATATACATCGACATATTACCGATACTTTATCCACTCCCTCGTTTATTTAGAATATAGAGGGGGCGCAAACTAGACTCTAGGATGACTATATTAGGCAATCTTGCGACTAGTATACTACCTGTTAAGGCTGAATTCCGACTTTATTAGTCCAGTATGCGACTACTCGAACTACTCCATCTTAATCTCCAAAACAACAAAGTGAAAGCCGCCATGTTGTTGAATAAGAAAACGTTTCGTTCCTAAAATAGCAATTCCTGCTTTTTGAATACATTAACTTGAAATATTTGAGCCTAAACAACACGCGGAAGCAATTGTTTTTCGACTGCGAATAAATTATTCTCATTTTACTAAAAAAAAAATTCAAGAAATTTTTTAAAACTTCTTTAATTTTAAGGCCCGTTAGTATTTTTCAAAGTAGAAACAATACATTTATCAATAAAGTTGTTTGCGTTTAACTTTTTTGCCTTGGGTAACGAGTTACGGAGTTGGTTAAAGTGTTTCAATAATTATAATCTTCAAACATCCTCCACACTTAAATACTTTTGTTTTGTTTTCCTTTACTGCCATCTGACCTATGTCTCTTACTAAATCATAAAAATAATATTTTTACTATAATTATCCCAACTTAGGATAAAACGCGACTTAGACGCCATATTATTATAGTTTTGTATTTCTGTGAATTAGGATTTTAAACAACGTTGCAGTTTGTACTAAATTAGGCTGCTAGCCAACGTCGGTATCCAACGTCGTTTCGACCCAAAAATTATTCTCCAAACTAGTGCAGACTAGGGTTGGCACGAGGTTGTGCCGACGTTGCGCCCCGACGTTTGGTCGCGTGACACAACGTTGTCCCACGTCCAAATGCTGCTTGGGATTAGTTACAAGCAAAGATGGTCTTTGGTTACAAGGGTTATAGCGAAATATGAAAAACTTTAAATATATCAATTTAATAAAATCAATCCACATAATACGATCTATCGAGTAAAAATACTTGCAATAATGTTTGGACTGATATATTGTAACTACACTCACAGGCACGGAAAAACGCACCTTAAAATTTACTCTATTTAAACGTTCTAGTGGACCGATTTTGATGATTTTTTTAACGAATTTGTAGCTAAATTATTTGATTTTTCAGTCATCATCATCATCATTTTCAGCTTATTCAACCATTTCTCATAATGGTGTCGTAGCCTTCCTTACATACTCCTTTTGTAGTTGGGCCCATTGTTGTCTATTGTTGGCTATGCGGACTTTGCGGACCCAAGTTATCCCTGCTAATTTCTTAATACCATGGCCCAATCTCAGGTTTAGTCTTCTTCTAGGTCTCTTCATTCCTCGTGAGTACCATGCTGTAATTTTTGTAGTCCATCTGTTATCCGTTCTTCTTATCAGGTGTCCTGCTCATTGCCATTTGAGGCATTTGAGTGTGAATGACATCTATTACCTGGATCTTTTGTCGAATCCACTCTAATCTTTTACTGTCTCTCTTCGTTATTTCCAGCATATTTCGTTCCATTGAACTTTGTGCGACTTGCAGTTTCCTTGTGATGTCCGTTTTAAGTGTCCAGGTTTAGCATGCATAGGTCATGACTGGTAGTACACATTGGTCGTACGTTTTCTTCGTTAGAGTGGCATTCTAAATTTGAATATGATTGAATTTCTTCCATAAGTGCTTCATGCTAACTTAATTATTTTGTTTATTTCTGGTAGTAGAGATTCCGAGCTGTGTATTAGGTGTCCTAAATATATACAGGGTGTCCCACTTCAAACGAAACACAGCAATTTGAAGGCATTTCTGGTGTGAAAAGGACAAAACGGTGAAGCACGTCAACTTTATTTTCGAAGGGGAAATAAGATGCGACTATTTTTGAAGCTCCTAATTCAAACCCCACGCGGGGGTGACATCCATTCTTAAAATCTTAAATGTAAAGCGGGGTCGCATAGCACATCATTTGATAGCCTTTTTTCAGCGCCGTCTCATTTTTAGAGTTTCTGTCACATTTGGTGGAATCGGGCTGAAAAATAAACTTTTCATAAATTGATGATGCTTTGATATTTGATTACTTGTACAGGAATCGAAATGGGGTCTAAAATAAGAAATTTAGATTAAATCAACGATAACTCAATTCTAATTAAGTTATTTAATTCTTTCTGAGTAATTAAAAATATTAAAATTAAAGTGATTAATTAATTTATTTATGATTAGGATATTTCTATTTAAGAAATAAGATGCGTAAAACTGCGAATTAAAATGCAAAAAATAGAATTTAAATTCATAGAGGATCATCGTTTTCAACAATATAAATGATAATTTTTAACATGTGGCTGCAAGGAGAATTATTCATTACATTAAATATTGCTGTTACAAAACATTATACAAAACACATTATAATATCTTAAAAACGCGAATTTACAGTTTTAAACTGTAAATTCATAAGTATCGTAAGATTTTTACGACGTATAACTGTGTTCATCAGATGGAAAATGTATTATTTGTGGTTGCTCTGGGTTTAAAATATCAGCACAGACATTTTATATAAAATTATTTTTATACAATTTTTTTTACAACTCTTTTTTTTAATTTCGGTTTGGTTTGGTTAGGTTAGGTTGTAATTGTTGTACATATTATTAAATAAAAATTATTTAAAAAAAAAACGTGCAAATCCACCTCGTCTAACGAGGGTTCCGTTTATACAATTTATACAAGTTTGCAAGGACATATTATAAATAAATGTTAGACACCACATAAGTACACGAAAATTATTAAGTACCTAGGTACCGGTTTTTTGTCGAAAGATATTTTCGTCAAACTTATTACAGATATTACACATTTTAATACGGCAACACTATCGCTTTCAGATCCAGACCGTCTTCGATATGCCTTCGCTGGCCGAATTAGAGAAAATAAGTGTTTTATGCATTGACCGCAGAACGATTGGTGTCTCCACCGTATAGCACTTGAGACGTAACGGGAAATCAAATCAGCCTTTTCACGAATTCGTCCATTAGGTTGGGTATCTTCCCAATTCTCTCAATCAACGTTAGAAAGGTATTAATTTTTCAACTTTTGCGACGTGATTGACAATATAAAAACGCAATTTTAGCGCCTAGGTATAAAAGTAAACCACATTTAAGCCTAAACACAAAAGTACTTATTATTATATAATTAATAATTTATTATTAAACTAATTTTAAGTGTCAAATTAAACGACCGTAACTATATTTTCTCGATATATAGGTATATCATACAAAGTACACATTAAGTATATCATACATAATTACATACAAAGTATTATATTATAATATGTATTATAGTCTATGTATTATAATTTAAGAGCTAGCAATGTTTTCGAGAAAGTATTTTAAGAAAGCTGGCTTTTTGATATATCTTATAATATTCTCTCTGGAACAGCATGCGGACCGTCTGGCTGCCGATGCCGATACATGTTGCGCTCACTACTGCGCATCGGAAGAATATCATAAATATATTGTTTTTATTTAGTCCGTTAAATTCTAGTATGAAATTATTCTAATATTCTATTATTGATTCTAGTATTAGCCCAGCGTGTAGAGTTTCCGGCTATGAGGCGAGGAGTCCGAGTTCGATACCGGCTCGTGGTATAAAAAAGTCTTATATTTTTATATAATGACTTGTACTGGTTTTGGGTTTAGTTGGATTAGAAGTATTCTCTCAGAAATGGACACAAAACTATTCACTGATCGATGCAATGTGTTGTTAATTATTAGGCCTACTGTAATATAATGGCAGACCCTGTATATAACATTAATCGTTGGTTTGTTACATATTTAGCAATAGGAAATCTGTTGCAACTATTGCATACCCAGCAGAAGCTATGGCCTTTTCATAGACCAATGCCTGTAATTAACGATATTAATAAGGATACTTTTGCCGTGAACTAGAGTGTTTCATTCCATCTCAACCAATACGTTATAAAAAGTATTACATGGCGATCCTGTCGAAAAAACAGAAGCAAAAATGAGCAGTATATTGTAAAGAGCATTTGAAAAATTTTATAAATAATGGCCAATAATCCATT